ATGACTGAAATCTTGACCGTTCAATTGATTCTTGTAGTTTTTTTTCTCATATCTATATTTGCATTAAAAATGACCTAAACAATCAATTGCTTGATGAATTTCCAGCAGTTGCAGAATGCCTACGCAGCAGAATTCAGAATTCTTTAAACTTATAATATTTTTAAACAAATCAATGCTTATAGAATACAATTCTATCTTGGCATGCTTAAAGTATATCACTTTTACTCTTCATATGATATTATAATTCTACTGTAACTTGTGTGAATTGTGCTTTGAATTCTATTGTAACTTGTTTGGATTCTGCTTAGTATTCTATTGCAGCTTGTTTGAATTTTGCTCAGAATTCTATTGTAGCTTGTTTCAAATCTGCTCAGAATTCTATATTGACAACATTAAAGTATATAAATTTGCTTTTCATAGGATATTAGAATTCTACTGTAACTTGTTTGAATTGTGCTTAGAATTCTATTGTAGCTTCTTTGAATTCTGCTCAGAATTCTATGTGGACAAGATTAAAGTATATAAATTTGACTCTTCATATGATACTAGAATTCTACTGTAACTTGTTTGAATTCTGCTCAGAGTTCTATAGAATGTTAGGGTAGTGGAATATGTTTTGTGTAAACAAATGCGTTGGATATGTTGTTCGCTTGGCACAAATTCCGAGGATTAAAATTGCTTTCGTAAATTTTATGGATAGAGGATAGATTTTATACGAAATGAAGGGAATCTAAAATGTCTAGTTTAATTGAAAACATCGGCACTTCTAATTTATGTCAAGCTTACTGAGGTCTCTGGTAAGTGTGAAATTTATACCCACCAATGTTCTGTGCGCGGATCTTCCTGTTTGAAAAACAGACTGGCAGAACGTAGTGCGCCAATTCAAAGGCAACTTTCCAAGTTCTTGATAATATAAAAAAAACTGTTTGTATAACTGTTTAAGGGTTTTTGTAAGATAAGCTATATGTAGTCTTATTAAAAATAAATGAATGAAATTACAAAGATACGAAACAACTTGTTCATTAAATAGCTTGTTTAATTCTACAATCCTGACTTTAGCGTGTACAGAATATTTCTTTCTCAATAATGCATGATATTGTTCCATGTTTGATACACATGCCAGTGCAAATTTTTCCTCTTTTCTCTCGTTTCATGATGTAATCATGATCAACTGTCTTCGATGTGTATCAATTTCATCTCTAGACATGTATGATTAAAAAAAGAAATCTAGAGATGAACAAACAACCATCATTATATCAACATCTTTTTGCAAGCATGCTCCTCAACAGTTGACTACAATAAATCACACAAAACCTTTCATTTTTAAATAAGCATTTGAGCTTTGTATTCTGCTCCTACCGATAGAATTCTATTTTATATTCTGCTGGTCTTTTTAACTTCTCGATAAGAATTCATTTTAGTTATCTTTGTTTCGCATTTTTATACTGATGGTTGGTTATAATTCTGCTTCTGCCGATAGAATTCTATTTTATATTCTGCTGGTCTTTTTAACTTCTCGATAAGAATTCATTTTAGTTATCTTTGTTTCGCATTTTTATACTGATAGTTGGTTATAATTCTGCTTCTGCCGATAGAATTCTATTTTATATTCTGCTGGTCTTATTAACTTCTGGGTAAGAATTCATTCTATTTACCTTTGTTTCGCATTTTTATACTGATAGTTGGTTATAATTCTGCTTCTGTCGATAGAATTCTATTTTCCACTTACGGTAGTGCGTATATGTTTATATTATACTACTTTTTCGCTATGTACAAAATAACAAAATTCTGAATTCTGCTGGTTAGGCATTCTGCAGGCCCTCATTTGAAATCCTAACATCTTCATTATTCTTTCGACTGTAACACTGACAATGTCTGAAAATGAAGTACACATCGGTGTGGGTCAAGAGATCCGTTACAACTACACTCGCTCAAAAGATCTTTTGCCTGCTAAGTTTTTTTAAACATGTGTAGATTACATATGTTCAAACCGATCACGTAGTCAATGCACATGTGAACCTGTGCCATGATTTATCGAAAGTATTTTTCATAGTTTTCTTAGTCATTTCAAGCTTATTTTAAAACGCTTTACATCATTCTTGACTACTCAGGTTGATGAAAACGGACTCGTTTACGGCGTGTTTATCGACGGTAAACGATGTCAAAACGGTATATTTACGGCAGTAAATAGGCCGTAATACCTGGCGCAGTAATACGGCACCATAAACGGGACTGAATTTTCATGGTTTACGGCTGTTTGTGCTCCGTACTCTCATGATAATACGGTCCGTATTACTGCGCCAGATATTATGGCAAANGATTATCCTTTTGTTCCGTTCTGTTGTCATACCATCACGTTGCTGTCTCGCTGATAACTGAGTATAATAATGTGAGCGAGAAGAAGACATAACACCTTACATCTTTATTTCACCGATAGAATTTATCAAACAGACAGCTACTTCTCCGTATAATTTATTGACTCACTGGTTAATCACTGGTTCAATCCACTGTTGTCAAATGCAGCAGTATTACTCCTATTGTGAAGTAATTGAAGTTCTAAAATGAAATAAGGTGGCTTTCTATCTGTTGCCCTAAATCACGCATCCAGTACGAGAATGCTCTAAAACGAATACATCAATACAGCACAAGAAAAAAAGTGAATGAGTAAGAAAATTATTGACTTTTTTACTGAAGTCGATCATATCGTAAGAAAGTAGTTTTGCTCAATACATGGTAATATTAATTCTCAACTAGGTTTTAATGAAATCCATTCTGCTCATGTTTTATTTTTACCGTCAGTAAAGCGAATTGGAGAATCATTTTAATCGGAGATCAATTCAACATCATCACTAGTATTTCATAATTGAAACCGATGTCTACTTGATTTTTCACTTTTTAACAGCAACTATTGATGATTCTCAGTTTTTAAGAATGTGCTTCTTTAAGAGTTATGCCATGTTGATGTAGATATTGTATGTGGAGTCGAAATAGATACTATCTTGTGTCAATATCAATAAAATCATTGTGCATGTAACATTTTCAATACGACCAATGATATAAAAGAATATTAGTATAGATAATAACTAGATGCCATTTCCGTAAAAATTTTCACTGCTGAGGTGAAAAACATTAAAAAAATAATAGTTTCACATTCTAAGAATATATTCTTAACACATTAAAGAAATTCTACGTTTTATCAGTAGAGCAAGGTATAAAAAGTACTTCTGACTATCGGTTATACAGGGCAGCCTCGAAAGATGGTCAATTCTTTTTTTCCACCCATAATGACATATTATGAAAACATCTTTCTCTATAATTAAAAATAATTAATTTGATAAACGCAAGCCAATGTATATTTTGATAGGAATCAAATGAATGCAATGCTAGCTAAAAGTTGTTATTAATTTGTTGGAAAATCAACGATTTAACACGAATTGTTTTCTATGGATCTATTAAATCATTTATAAATCCTATAGCTAATCGTTTATATACATTTAAAAAATTTATATACTTTTAAAGGAAATTTAATTTTTCAAAATATACACATCCTAGCGTAGTCTGATAAGAATTTCAAATTTGTCACTAGCGAAACAACACTTAAAAGAAAAGTTATCATGTAAATTAGAATAAAAACAAAATTTATTTTCATAATAAACTAATTTTCACAGAAATAGTTAGCTGTCGTTATCAGCAACAGCATAAAAAAATAACACCGATTAGTTGTTTAACCTCATATCATCTGATGATGAAAATCATTTTGTTAGTTGTTCGCTGATACCATTTCTTATCGGATATGAATCTTCAGAATTTTGAAAGTAAACGATCAAAGAACACATATTTTAAGTAATAATAATGTTTCTCAATTGAATTCTTTTTTTGAATATTGATCTTCCAGCGAAATATTTTTGGATTTCGTTTTAAAAACGATGTATGGTTACCCAATCATTTCGGTGATTGCATCAATGAATCAAATACAAAATGCATGCCTCTAAAACTAAATTAAGAATTGAAATAAACATTCATAGAGCGGAACAACTGATAAGTGATGATAGAACCGAATAGTCCTAATTATAGAATATTGTATTGAAGTTCACACTCGTTCACTTTCATCTTGTTCTGCAGTGATGCACGTTCATTTTTCGACAGCATTATCTTAATCGGCGTCGACTCATGGAGATGCACGTAAAGTGACATTTTTAAGAAAAATCCTATGTAATATGTGTTCACTTTCAGAAGGATACAGTTCAAATTGACATTATATCTTCTAATACATGAGCCATCGTCATCAAAAAAATATTGACATGGCTATTAATTACCAGAAAAGAATATACATAAAATAATAAGGCATGAAAATAGAAATATTTCGTTTTTTTTCCTTCTCTTACTTGGTTATCAAGAACAGCAACTATTTAAAAACTATGATTATGCAAACTAATAATGAATACAATAATTTTAATATCTAAATACTATTTCATTAAATTCTTTTAAAATTTGTCACAACTTCCAAATGTACTTGATTGCCCTCGCAAACTAATGCGTACTCAAATACGTATCATGAGTTGTACAACAAAATATTTTAGTAATTATAAAAGAAATACGCCATACACTAATACGTATGTATTATTAACAAAGTAACATTCCTATTACAAAGCCATTGTTTGTATATTCAAAAAAGCAAATAAAAACAAACTCAGTTATTCTGATCATTTTTGCTTTATTTTTCTATTATTTTGTCATGCGTAACAAAAAGAAGTGATGACTAAGCACGTGCTTCTATTGCGCAAATTTTGACAGGCGTGATTATGTAATATGTTTGACAATATCAAGTTATATGCGTGATTAAAGACGTGATAGTATATTCCACGTGATATCTCCGACAGATGATTTACGAAGATGATTATAATTTCGTCGTTTCATTTTCATAGTTTTCTATAAATATCGCAAAATACTCGATAATATCAATAGGTATTTATCGTTTTTCGAAACAGTAAATAAAAGCCATGCTACTTGATACACATAAAATATCATTAATTTATGATTTTTGGAAACTGAACAACGAAGAAAATTATCTACACGATGTTGGTGAATTATCACGTAAATTACTAGAATCAGATACCATAGATGGTAAGTTTTTATCGGTGCTTTATATATAAATATATATATTTGAGTGTTTTCTATAGCTGAATACATACGTAATTGGATTCCTGATCTTCTTCGTCTTGTTGAATTATGGGAACAACAGTCTTTAACTGAATTGGATAAATTCTATACAGAATTATTAACAAATAATGTATATAATGACAAAGTTGACGCTTTATTACGCTTTCTTTATGATATTCAATCGTATGAAATGGTTAAATATCTATTAGAAAAGAATGTTGAATATTATAAAAAAGATAAAATTGTGTCGCCAACAATGAATGCTTTCCATGAATCTTGTATATATGGTTTTAGTCAAGTCTGTTTATTATTTATTCGAAATAAACAAGATGTTAATGAAAGATTTTCATTAATATATGAAAATTTTAAAACAAATAAAAAAGAAACCATACGTAATTTAACGGCACTTCAACTTGTATGTCTTTGGTCAAAATATTTCCCTAAGAGACTTTCATCCTATGCTCATACAGTCCGAATATTATTAAACAATGGCGCACAAGTTAATACAACATCAACAGAATTAACAACACCACTTCATTGGGCATCTCGAGCAAAACATACAATACAAATAGCACAAGATCTTATTGAACGTGGTGCATGTATTAATGCACGTGATCAACTTGATATTCAACCAATTCATTATGCATGCTGGGCACGAAATCAAGTGTTAGTTGATATGCTACTGGCTAAAGGTGCACAACTTACCGATGAAGATAAACTAGGTCGTACGGCAATACATTTTCTTTGTATGCCTTCATTTATTGAAGCGATCACAAGTGACGATCAACAACAACAATATATTTTAATGAAATATTTACTAGAAAATCATCATAAAAACAGTCATACTATTGATTTACAACGAGAAGATAATCAAGGGCATACATTAATAGCATATGCATGTGTCAGTCAAAATTTTGAACTTTTAAAAATTCTTCTTCAACATCAACCAAATTTATTAAATAAAGCAACTAGCAATGGAAGAACACCATTGATGATTGCTATTGATGAATGTTTTGTCGATGGTATTGAATATTTACTTGAACAACGTGGTCTTGAACGAAATACATGTGATGCAGCTGGTAATACAGCTGTACATCATGCGTGTATGTGTACAAATGTTTCAATGCGTTTAAGACTTCTTCAATTATTAATTGATGATCAAAATGGTGTATTCGATCTTGAAAAACGTAATGCACAATTAATTGATCCATTCATGTTGTGTACAATAAATCATTCAATTGATTTATGTCGTTTATTAATGGAAAAAAATGTCATTTTAACTAAACGAGATATGCATTCGAGACAACCTCTTCATATTGCATGTCAAATTGGTGACTATGATTTAGTATTGTTATTGATACGCTCGTCAACGGTAAATATAAATGCATTGGATGATAATCATAGAAATTGTTTATATTACGCTATCAGTTATGGTGATGAAAAAATTGTCGATTTATTAATTGAAAATAATGTAGCTATTAAAATACGTGATCGTGTTGGTGATACACCATTGCATTTAGCTGTACAACATACAACAAATGCCTATAAATTAACCAATAGTCTTCTACAAAAACAAGATGGCAAAGATCTAATCAATGAGCCAGCAGCTGATGGAATGAAACCAATTTTATTATCGGCAAGTTGTAAACAAGCAGAAGTTGTTTATCTTTTAATTAAAAACGGCGCTGATGTTAAAGCGGTTGATGATGAACATAATACCGCATTACATTTAGCATGTAAAAGTAATTGTATGAAATGTGTCTTTTATCTTATTGAATTTGGTGGTCTTGATGTTAATGGTCTAAATTGTTATCGACATACACCAATGTTTTTTGCTTATACAAGTAATGATTATGATCTTGTTCAATATCTTATATCATGTGGTGCACAACTCGATGTTCGTGATACTCAAAATTATTTACCAATTCACGTTGGCCTTATTTTATCAGAACCTGATAAAGAATACAATTTAAATCTCATTGATTTATATAAAGATAAAGATGAGAAACTACTCGACGATGACAATAATGAATCCAAAATGACAGCATTAATTCTAGCATGTATGCAAGGTAAATTAAATGTTGTAAAGCATTTAATTCTGAATTATAAAGTAAATATTATGGCAAAATGTTCGAATGGACATACACCATTACATTATGCATGTTTAACAAAAGATTCAAACTCATTAGAAATCATCGAATTTTTAATGCAACATGGATGTACATATGAAAGTGTAGATCAACCGAAAGGTACATTTTTATTTACAGTTGTTCAACATGGTGAACCAAATGCTGCTATGTATTTTATTAATTATTGGCTTGTAAGTTAATTTTTATTTCTGTGAAATATTAGTCGAAAGGAGTATGGAAATAATGTATCAGTACAGGTTCCTATTGTGTCCATAGCAACTTTAGTAGCACTTATGTGCCATAGATTTTGATAGGGTTTAGAGTTTTATTGCTGCTACTTTATTGTTTCAACTTGAAATACTCAGACTAATTATTTCAGAACTTTATCTCTTGAAATTTTCAGTCTGAAGAACGATAATGATTAGAAACAGTACTTTGATGATTGCACTCGGCTTCATTCGTCTATGACTGTTGCCGATGAGATTAGCAGTTTTCTACTATTTTCTGGATAGATGTGGTTGTGTATCATTCCTGTGAATAGTTTACGTTGGCGATTTTGTCATCATCATTATAGATAAACGGTAGTAAATACGAGTTGATATAAAGTAACTTGTACGAGTGAATATTTTTCTTTGAAAATATAATTATCTCGATCATGTTTCACCTTTCCATGTTCTAAGAATGCGTTAACAACTTGGAATTTTATTCTGATTTTGAAACATTATTCGTGTGCTTTTGCTTTTAGAAAAGCAATCCCGATATTAATGAAGTGCATTATTGTACAACAATACTTGATCTTCTCTATGATCGTGCACAACTACATCACCATGATATTAATTTTGCGCTTCTTGGCAGTTTAATAGAGAAAGGTGCTCATTTATTTTCATCAAAATTACCATCGTTTCCATGTTCATTAGTCAACGATTGTCCATCTTTTTATTCAACGTTATTTGAATATAACTGTACATCGATTAGTGATAAAAAGTTATTTATCTTTCAACTATTACATTCACTTTCAGTTCATCCAGAAAAATTCTTATTGTTGAACAAGACAAATAAAGAATTTATTAGTGTTTGTGAATATTTCTGGAAGGTTGCTAATTTCGTACATTATTATTATAATATTGATCGATTTCATGAAACTATTGACGAACATTTATTTCCACAACTTAGCGCTCAACAACCAAGTGAACATGTAGATGTACTTCGAAAACAATTGGATATTCTACGTTCAACTCCATTGAAATTATCAGAAATAGCACGAAAATTGATTCGTACAAAAGTTATTATTCCAATCAAAAAGGAATTCGACCAGTTGGGTGTAACTCGACATCTTGTAGAATTTCTTTCACAATCAACATTTTAAAAAGACAATGCTTTATTTGTTTTCTATATTTAAAACGAATGATTGATGTGATACTTGTATTTTTGTAATTAAATTTTCAATAAAATTGAATTTGTTATTTTTCATTTTATCCTTTTGTTAATATAGCTTACTTATTAATATCTGTCGATAAGGCAGACAGTGACTGAAAAACAGCTTTGTCCACACAAAAAAAAATAACATTTATGATATCAACCTGAAGTACAGGAGATTCAAATCATTGTATAAAACTATCTAGATTGTAGCGAATTGATTACTTATGGATTTATTGTTTGACGAGAAGATGACGCTATCTGAAACTGTATTTTATCGTAATCAATCAGCAGAAAGAGTGCATATGATATACAACTAAAGAACTAGAAGAATTCACATAGAATCAATGTTTATTTCAAGTTATAAGAAGAATGTAAACAACATCGAAAAATCTGAACAGGTCATATTGATTTCATGACCGAAATGTATGAGGACAGATAACTGAATTCTCACATCAAATCTATGAACAGAAAAAAAGAAAACTATTTGTAAAGACGTAAAGAAAGTTGAACAGATAAATGCTATGAAGCAAAATGAAATTTAGTGGATATCACAAATCTGGCGTAACACATGGGTTGAAAATAAGTTCATTTGGAGTGGTCATAAGTAATGGAAGAGTACTATGTCGATTAAATTCTTGATCTTGTTCATCAATGTGAACGCGATTTTCATCTTTTTTAATAAGATTTGGATTTTGAGCATATAACTCAGCACCCCTATTCATATAAATAATATTGATGTAAGAATACAGCTCAAACGCAAATACATACCAATACATTTGCTGTACTAAATATCGACATCGATCCAATTGAGCACGAACATTCCTTGGTACACGTGAAATTAGATGTCGTACGAGAAAAAGAATACTATACACAAAGTGCTAGAAGGAAAAATAACAATGATCAATTTCCTATAAAAAAAAAGAACGGAATTACTTCGAAAATAATCACAAATGCTAATCGTGCAACCATTACATAATAAAACATATATGAACGTCCGTAATTTCGTGAATGATCCTACAAGAAAAATAAGTATTCTCAATTGAAAAGCTCATACTAACACTTACAAGTCGATAATCTTTATAATAACAAGTAGAAAAATCAATTTGTGATCGTATTTCATTCGCTAATGTTGAATTACAATCAAAAGATGATAAATGATATGATTGAGCAAATGGTATAAAAAACGTTGACTGTTTGAATAAATCAATTAAGCGTGACTCAATAAATTGACATTCAAGTAATGTACGATTAATAATAGGTGGAAAATCACTCGGATGAAATGGTGCCAAAGTATGATCAACAAAACCATTTAGTGAACGATTTCCAATTGTCCAATAGTAAACTTGCCGAGGAATGTATTCGGACGTGATTGCAATTAAAAATGCATTGGATAAAACAGTTATTTTAGCCATTATTGTTAATATAGAATTCCACGTACCAATACCCACTGCACGACGTGCAACGGGCCGACGAAATTCTTTAACAACTTTAAGTGCATCAATGCGTATTTCAAATATATTATTTAAAAATGCAAATAATGGTGCCAAAGGAAATGATAAACAAAAAAACGTCACGAAACCAAATTGTAAAATAATTTCTAAATACTCATAAAACAATGTCGTTAATTCAAATGGTTGTAATAGAAAATCTTCTTCATAGGAACGTCGTAAATTGACTGCTAAGACTTGTTCATGCATTTTTTTCACTTTAGCATTTCGTTCATTTATCTGTCGTACTGTATCACGAAATCGAATACGTTTACGACACATATTCCATAATTTTGAAAAATAAAATTCCCATATATTAGATATTAATTGTTTACCAACCATGATGATCATGAGTTGTATGGACAATTCCCATACACACCCGCTGACATCACATTCTTCAAGACGAAACGCTCTCGAATAACGATCAAGATAGGTTGGCTTGTAGATAATTAATGGTTTTATTAATGCGATATAAAATATGCTTGCGTAGTAATTGACAAATTGAAATAAAAACATTTTTATTGTTAAACTTGCTTCGTAACTTTTATCGGTTCGATGTAATTCAACATTAGTTAACCATATAGCAAGAATTTCGTAGAAATATTGTAAAATAAGAATAATGATTAAATTTATTAATGCTAAATAACGGAAAAATCATGTTTTTTTAGGTAGCGATAATTTGAAATTTAAAGAAATATCTTCTAGTGTTTTGTCATGAGTATTCGGTTAAAAACAAATAATTACAAGAACTCATAAAAATTGTAATACATTAAAAGCATGGAATTCCAATATTTATCTTAATTATTATTATTGTGGAAAACATTCGTCATATAGTTCACGGGGGAAATAATCTGTGTGCTAAGAAATATAGTTTCATAGTTATGCCAATCAGTTTGTTTTTGAGATTTTAAGAAAAATTAATACGTGCAAATTTTATTCAAAATTTGAACAGAATTCATATTAAACGCATGATGTTAATTATATATTTTAGACTGAAGTTCCTTTTCCAGACATCTCTTATCATTTCCTCTTCATCTGTTGATCACAATATTAAACGAGTACGAGTCTCTGTGAATGACAAAACTTCATTCTAGTGGCTCTTAGTAGCGCAAACAGGCGTTCCATTAAACTGAAGATGATATATAACCAACTGAATTCTATCTGTGACTGATAATCTCTAATGATGAAAAGTCGGTTAAACACAATTACTCCATGACTAGCAAAGAAATAACTGCATAAAAGAAATCGGCAATTAGCGAGTTTCTCGTATTATTTGAGTAAAGGATAGTGTGTCAAGACTCATGATGTACTTAATAGAAAATTAAGGAAGATGCAAAAACGAGAGAATATAATTAACAAGCCAAATTGCAATTGGACGGCCATAATACAGAATAGCTGGAATAAAACGAAAGAGTTTCTTGTGTAAAAGGAAAAAAAGCTACAATCGAACTGTTGTTTGTAAGTCAACTATTATTGCAGAATAATCACTATATTGCTAGAACCTCTTCAATAAATGTATTTCGTCGTATTAGCATGATGATCTTAAACTATATAGAGAGAGAAGACCTACATGGTATTTCACTAAGGCTTTGATCAAAAACGTTCATCGAAATATTAAGAAGTCATTCGAAGAATTAATAGAGAAACTCATACGACAAATATAATCCTTTCCAATTGACATTAATAATGTTTAATTGAACTTAATACATGAGCAGACAAACTTTTTCCTGATACTATCGAAAATTAATTTAGCAACCAAAATGTTTCTATGAAAATTCCATTGAAATATTTTGCTCTAATATATCTACATTAAATATTTATTGAATACTTTTTACAATACCTCCAGTGATAGGAACGATAATTGGTTTCCATCGATAAACCCACATTTCTCGATCAATTGAATTAAATGCTGCTGAAACGCTTAATCTAATCAAAATCATTTATTTATTATGAAAACAGAGAGAAAACAAAATCGATCTTTATTATTACCGATAGACAACAATGCCAGCAACAACAGCTAATACAAGTAATACCATTAGCAATACAATGGAAAATGATGATCTAAATAAAAAATGAATTATATAACAAATAGATATACATGTTGCAATTCAGTTAACAAAAACCGTACGTATAGTAAAGAATTCGTTTATAAGCCGGTACATAAGGTTCAATTTTATCTGTTACTTCATTTACAATAGTTTTATGAACACGTCGTTCAAAATCCGGTCGTAATGTTTCAGTTTCTTCAGAAATATCCGTCTAAAAGAAGGATAAATTGATTGTTATAAAATGGAATCAATGGCGTATTTTTTGTTTTGTTTCTATTACCATGTCCCATTCATATTGAAGTCGAAATTCATGTCGTTGCCAAAGAAAATTTATACTTACAGCAAATATACTTATCATTATAGAAAAAGCAACTGCAGCAGAATTATCAAAAACATAAGACATCTAGCGAGAGAGAAACACAATCAATAAGTCTATTCTATCTATAATGCTTTCTTGACAAACTTTAGCATTGAAACAAGTTTCATTTAAAAACCAGTAACTTCGTCGATCCTGAAATTAAAATAAAACGAAGATAAATATAATTAAAAAAAAACAATTCTAATTATTTTGCTTTACAATTTTTGGACACATCAAATAACTTGAAGTTGAATTACATATATCAAGTGTTGGTATATCATATTTGACTGAAAGAAGGCCCCATAAAAGAACAAATATTCCAAGAATCGATGGAATAATCAATAATGAATTGTACCATCCAAGCCAAGCAAAATAAAATGCTAGCCGTTCACCGTAATAATCTCTTATAGCACGAATCGGTTGAATACGAAATATATTACTGAATTTTGCCCAACGATGATATAATTTCTTAAAAATAGGCACAGATCAATAGAATCAAATGAAATCGCATAGCGAAAAATTCTCAATCATAGAAATCTCATATTTAGCTGTATTCGAAGATTATCTTTCATATTGAAATACAGTTTTCTCATAAGACTTTTGAACCTCTGAGTTTCCATCCGATTAATTAACTCTTCTATGAATTTACCATGCGAGCATTCCATGTTTCAGGTTCACCGGCATCTTTTTCATGAATAAGTTGATCATGTAATGGATATGCTGCTTCGTACACACCTTCTTCAAGTAATACTTCGATGCCTATGAAGACACAATTTTGTATACATATTTGCACACTATATATCTATTAGCATGCAACATGAGGATATAAGACATGTAAATCAAGTAAGATCCACAAGTAGATAGAAAAAAAATGTTTTCATACTGACAAAAGAAGAACGTGAACAAGTTAAGAACAACAAAAGCTGCTCGTTTATTTTCTTACCTATATCTTTCATTCCTATAATTAAAATCAAATCATTAATAAATTAAGAAAAACAGAACGGTGATTAAAATAAAATCCTGCCTGATTGTCTTGTACTTGAAGTAAAAACTTCTTCAATATTTAATGTTTGTTCTTCACTCGAATGTGTTTGTTGTCGTCTCATATTCATACTACGATTGGGTAAACGCGAGTCTAACCTCGATGGTTGAATATTTGTATCATGTAAACCTGGAAATGAAGAAGAACATAAATTCAACATAGGATTTCTATATTCATTCAAAATCCAATCAAAGTATTAGAAAGCAAGCCTTAAAATTCCACGCTTCTTAGCGCTTACAATCATTAACCATTAAAACAAGTAAACTGCCTAGAAAAATGAGTCTGCATTTCGAAAACATTTTGATATTTTTCCATCGATAAGTAAAATAAAATATGAAGAAGAAGAATTCAACATACCAGTTTGTATTGGATCCGATGATCGATATGGACAACGGAGAAGAGTTTCATAAACAAGACGACTTCGTTCAGCTTGCCGAAAGACTTGATCAACATCACCAAAGTGTTTGAAAAACCTACGAAAAACCCAACTTGATATTATCTTCACAATAGACTGGCAAACCTGTAATGAAGACTTTTTTGATAGCAAGCAGTAAAAAACGATTTTCCTTTATGTGGCTTAGGAAATTCGCGTAGATCAAGACGAGTTGATTGGCACGGTAAACCTTGATCAAATAGACCAGGCTCTAATGGTGCTTTATTTTCACTAAATGGCAATTTAACTTTTAATTTTTCTGCCTACGTAAATCAAAATCATTCAAGTTGAAAAAACAAACATTTTCTTTAAATTTAATCTTACTAATACAAGAAGTACTTCAAATGGTGCATGAATTTTAACAAAATAGCGTTCATCGTGTTTGATTTCATCATCATTTTCAAATTTTAACTGAGATTTTCTCTTTAAGAAAAGCAACATTTGTAAATCAATTAGAACGTAATAAATCAACATACTTTTGGATAGTATTCATGTTTCACTATATGTGTCGAATTATTTAATTCTGTCATTTCTTCTTCACGAATTGTATCAATGGGTCTGCCAAGAGTATTACTAACCTCATGAGTTTCTCTTCTTAAATGTGAACTAATATTTTGTAAATGTACTGATACATGTCGTTGTAAAGTCGATAAACTACGAACGAGTACATGATTGCTTTCATCATTGCTATTAGCATCGTGCACATCTTGTGACCCTTCAGCTTGTCGTAAGTTAAGAAGGTCATTCTCCTAATAGAATTTTTAATTAAAAAAAAGTAAAAATAAAGATGTTTGTTCTTGTCATCTTAATTTACTTCGTCAGTTAATCGTTCTTCCACAACAATAAAACCTAATTTTCTGAGACGATCTTGAAAAAATTGCCTATATTGATCATGTTGACGTTTTAATTTATGACTACGCCGAAAATGATTTGAGTGATAACGTGTATACACAAGAATATAATCAATTGGAAGTAATCTTCCATCGTGATAAATATATTTCGATCGATCAATTGGCATCGTACTAATTTTGTGATGAATATGATTCTAATTTGAAGACGAAAAAAACATTTTATACTAAAAACTTCACCACATCGAAAACACTAATCCCAAGTGCTTTTCACTGCTTTTTTTTCAATAGATCGATCCGAAATAAATGTATTGATTTTTACAATGACTAATATTTGATGGAATATTTATTAGATAGATATACCTACGTATGTATACTCACAGAATCGACAACGACATGACGAGGATGATGATTGCTGTTTTTTGCATTCATTTCTCGTCGATCACCTACAAATTCATATTAATATTATTTTTTATCGCCATAGCTCGTTGAGTATATTTTTCATAGTTTTGGTTGGAATGTAACTTAGATGAACTCAACCATAGTCATCGATTATTTATTCCATTGAGAGACTATTGTATTAGACCCTTGGGAGAAAAAAAATATTCTAGTATAATAGATAGTACTGGATTCCTAATTATATATTTTTTCTCCTTGAAAACGTAAAAGAATGAATTCATCAATAGTTGCCAAAGAGTATTCCATAAGACAAATAGCAATGATGAATAAGAACGAGAAAATAGCATCATACTAATGTAAAAAACGATCTATGAAAAAATAATAATATTCATTCCATCAACCGATCCTTTTCTTGAGCATTTTCTCTTCATGTTTCTCAACCTCCTGGCTAGGAACGATAGTAAGTGGCTCTTCATATTTTTTTTTCCATCCATTCTTCTGCATTTCACATTCGATCCTTGTTTCGCGATATTATCATTACCAATAGAGAGACAGAAAAAAGATCGGCGTAAAAATAGTCTCATAATTGATGATGAAACATCAAAAAAGAAAAATTTTTGCACCGCTAATATTTGATTACAAAGCGGTGAAACTAGGTTAAGAATTCATTGAGTTTAATGCACAACAACATTTTTTCTTTTTATAGACATCTTACCATTAATAATACAGCCATTTTTATTTGATGATGATTCAGATTCCGATGATTTTATTTCGTCTCCTTTGCGGAGTATTGTGTTTTCTTGAGCCAGTTCTTGAAATAAATTTAAAAGAAGGTCAAGGTTTTTCTTTTGAATAATTAAAAAGAAAAACAGAAGCAAAAATCATCCGGTAGTGACAAAGGCTAATACGGTAATACATGGTTAGCTGATAAAAGAAGCACAAACAAAAAAAGCAGATTTTATATCAAGGAATACCCGAACCGGTGTGGCATGAATAAAATGATGTGTATGAATCCTGACGATCAGATATATCATGTTGATTCAACTCTGGAAGAATAAAATTTTATAGGTTTATATATATAATGTCTATCTTATATATATATACGTATATAAATATATATATATATAAACTGTTTTCAATTTTACATAATAAATAAATTTCTATTCAAAATTTTATTCAAAAACAAAATTTTCCTTATTAACATACGTCTTGATTCGGCATCTAATGTTGTTGTTGACGTTTGGTTGACCATAAATGGTTTTAAAGTCTTCATAATTAAATTCTTTTTTTTTTTATAAATAATTGCATCGACTGTTTATTTACGGAATATATTCATTATATTAGCACATTATCACAATAGAAATATCTTTCATATCGACATGAAATATTAATAAAAAATAATAATATAGAATATAAAATCAAATGAAATCATTTAATAGGAAAAAAACGTGATGATTTCATTATCGAATTGATGAGTCATTAACTAGTCGACCGAAAAAAATACTGAACACAGTAGGAGTATGAATATCGATTCATCTGCTTCGTCGCTTTTTATGCTTGAAACGAAACTAATATTTACTATCCACTGTGACAGATGTTACCATTCATTTTCTTTCTCAAAGAGAAATGCTTTTAAGTACTATTTATTTAAGTAAAACAATCAGAAGATGGCGTAAAACGATGGCTCCCAAGTGAATGATGACTTTACATTGATTTGCGTATTTTGGTATTATCGTAAGAAAAAAAAATAGTAAAGGATAACAGTCACGGGGGATAAATCAATTGTTTAACTCAACTATTTAATGATTAATCAAGAAAAAAAGTAAACAACATGCATGTCCTCTTTTGTTATTTCATCGCTGTGCGTGATCAAAACAAAAAAGAAACTTTCGGAAGTACTGAGTTGCAAATAGGCGTGCAATAAGATGATTCTAATGGAGTCTCAAAACATACTTGGACTTCATCATGCTAGATGTACTTTCTGGAGTGACTTTAAGGCAAAATAATATTAGTTCTATAATTATCTGATTCGAGAAGTATCAAAAGTGCCATATTGAACATATTTTCTTGCATCTGCTAGCTAAGTATTTAGCAGCATATCGTATCTATATACTCAAACATCAATGGACTACTCAAAATGATTCAAGTATTGAAAAACTATTTGTATCATGCTGACTGATAGCAAATTACACTATGCTCACTGGTTACGCGAGGGAATTTTCTAGCTGTAAAAACATGTGAACAGACTATAATTATAAAAGAACTAGTCATGTCTTAACAAATAAAAACTTTCAGGGTTGATCTGAATGTGGGTTGTTGAGGTTGTGACAACCGCTCAATTTTTAAAAGAATATATTTTTAATTGTTCGTAATCAAACTCTGAAGTGATGGTTTTGTGTTATTGCACATACTTTATAATTGTGATTAAACTGTAACCTTTTCTCTCAAATATAAATGAAAATAAGCGAAGAAATTTCTCATTTACACACACATTTCTTCCTAGAAGAAAAATTCGTTAGTAAGTACATTATTGATGTAATTTAATTACACTTACAACTTCTGAAAGTTTCGATAGTCGAACGAATCCTGATAACTTCTATTAAATAAAGAGGGCACTGGTATTCGTACAACTGTGTACAGAATGTGCAAGTAAAACTGACCGTTACACTCCACTTGACTTGCGTTCTCTTGTTGATATGACCTCGTCTTTACAATAATGATGTTGGCTATATAAATTTCTTTTTTTCTTTTCTGTTCTATGTAAACTACATATGAAGATGTATTGTGAGCAGTAAAAACGTGACTTGAATTACCACGTAATTTACTAAATATCTAGCTCGATGGTAGCGACAGACAGCTAAGTAAATTTAACAATTAATCATTGAATCATGATTTACTCATTGCTTTCGTGAAAGAGAATACGAGAGAGATTTACAAAGTTGTCTTTCGACCCCCATCATACACGTTCAATCAAAGTTATAAAGAACTATTTCGTTTTATTATGCTACCAGTTTACGATATCCCTTGTATATCTATACACATCCAATGTCGACGCATCAATGTAGATATAAAAGAAGGAGCAAAAGTATCGTAGACTTGTTCATCAAGCTAGTTGCTTATCATTTTAACTCAATAAGTAATCTCTTGAGTTTCATTAAAGTTCTTATCACGATGACAAATTCAAGTAGTCCCGATAATAAACCAAAAACTTACAGAACAACATCTGTAGGTCAAATAGACTCAACTAAATGTTTTATATTTGGCTGAATTTAATCTAATTTTTTGTTTCTCCCAGTTTCTTTCCATTAGTGGTGACACGGGATAAGCATGCATTCAATATTAAATTAGTTCTTAATTCATAAGAAATGATGAAATTATTTTTGGATTATATACATTCGATGACAACTTCATTTTAATTCTCTGAAAATTGACCGTTAATCTTCTATCGAGGAAAAACTCAGTATACAAGAGAAATATTTAAGATGTGACAAATTAGAGTTTTCTAAGCTGCTGTGGACCCATCAACGAAACTGTGAGAATTTTCTCTTCGAGAATAGTTCGATTAATGTGTTGTTGGCATTATTGTCTCTCTTCATTATATGTGAGGAATAACAGTGTACAGTTTGAGTTTAATAAGTTTTACTCAATAGAAATATCAGCTAGCATTGTATCAAAAAATAATCCAATAAAGATCAAAACTGTATAGTTATGATTATTTTTTGTATAATTATACAAGTAAATAAAGTAAACATAAGCTTGATCTCTTTGGAATTATTTTGTAGTTAGATTCGATTCAATTTTCTTACGCTACCATTCAAATAAGTATTTTTTCAATAAAAAACAAAAACAAATCAGTTATTCATAGACGAATTAACTCACGGTTAATTGGTGAAAATTCAAAAGTTTGATAAGTTTAAATTACCATGGAAGTAAACAGAAAAGAGATGTCAATTACGAAAAAAATTATAATATAAGTAAAACAGGAAGATAATAATGTAGCGATTAAAATCAGCAAGCACAATTAATGAATCACTTTTGATGAATATGGACGATACATGTTGTGCAATAGAAACCATAATGTGTGAAATAACAAAAACAGCGATGTGTTATCAAATTTTTAATGCAGTTTTACTCGATGTACTGTTACATGCTTCATCATAAACGCATTGAAAATTTCTATTCATTGTTTTGTTTTGACACTTTATGTAAAATTTCAATGCTAGACTGTTTAGTCTCTCAGGCTTGAAATAAAACATACATGCAATATTTGCTTTTTTCTGTTTTACATGCCACACTTCATGTTTGCCCTAAGAAAAAAAAATCATCAGAACAAAAGAAGAATGTAAGAATTCTGTTTTTGCAGAAACTTTCAATGGACACAACTTCTTGTAAGTAAAGATATGAGCCCAATAAATGATTCTGCAATCATTTTGGCTTACCTATCATGTTCACATAAAACGATATTCTAATTGAGACTTTTTTTACTATTTATAATCGAATTATATAATCAATTTTACAATATTCTGTGCATATATATATATATATATAACTCTACATAGCACTTTTATTCAATGGTGAAATTGAAAGACATGATAGATCAGCTAAATATAGATCAATGCACATATATTC